TATTGATATTTTACCCGATTTGTGTTCTAGAACTTTTGCTGGTACAGTTAAGTTAGTTTTGTTTACTGGAGTCATGCATAAAAGTGTTCTGACGAGAACATGTTTTCAGCGTATTATATATGATATAGTGGGCATTCATCGTAAATTTCACTGTCCCTATCATGTATGATACAAGTTATGATTACCTACAAATATATCTAAGATAACTTCTTTTTTCAGCTCCCAGGGCCAAGAATATCATAGCCTGCATGCCTTCGGGTGAAGACAGCGACTTTGGTGACCTGAATGACGACGAATACATTTCAAACAATGCACCGAGGCTTGTGACAGATGATACGGACATCTCTGATCAGTCTTCGGAAGAGGATGAAGACAATGAGAGCAGCTCGCAATGCGGCACTTGGTCCGTGGACAGGGGTCACTGGAGAAAGCGCTTGATGGATTGCTGCCTCCCTACTTTTACAGACACATCCACGCAGCCTGCCGAAGTACGTTCTTTCTTCAGACACTTGAGACATTTCGTAACCCCATCGATATCATAGCCTGCATGCTTTCGGGTGAAGACAGCTACTTCGGTGACCTGACTGACGACGAATACATTCCAAACAATGCACCGAGGCTTGTCACAGATGATACGGACATCTCTGATCAGTCTTCGAAAGAGGATGAAGACAATGTGAGCAGCTCGCAATGTGGCACTTGATACGTGGACAGGGGTCACTGGAGGAAGCGCTTGATGGATTGCTGCCTCCCTACTTTTACAGACACATCCACGCAGCCTGCCGAAGTACGTTCTTTCTTCAGACACTTGAGACATTTCGTAACCCCATCAATGATCAGCGAAGTAGTTTGCGAGACCAACCCGTACTGTACTCGGACGACTGGAAAATCCCTGAATATCACAGACAGCGAGCTTGACCAATTCGTAGGTCTCTACTTATTCATGGGACTTATGCAGATGCCCAGTGTTCTCAGCTATTGGGAACATGAAACGCTGTTTCCTCCCATTGCAGACATAATGCCTTGAAACCGATTTGAGAAAATTATGCGCCTTTTGCACTTCACAGACAACAACAAAGCCAACGACGGAGCTGAAAAAGGAACAAAGTATGGAAAATCCAGTCCCTCCTTAGATGAGCTTCAGCGCGAAATTTCTGACTGTAGAACCTGAACATCTCAACAGTGTCGACGAAGTCATGATCTCCTTTACAGGAAGATGCCTAATCAAGCAGTACATGCCCGCGAAACAAGACTCTTGGGGCCATAAAACTGTGGGCGAGAGGCTGGTTCATCTGGCTTTCTTTATCAGTTTGATGTCTACCAAGGACAAGCAAAGAAAAATTACCAGTATGGTCTAGGACGGCAACGTTACGCTAAAGATGTGCCAGGCTCTGCCGAAAAACAGGGGATACAAAGTAGCAGAAGATAACTACTTCTCTTTGACCTAGCTGCTGAGCTGTCAAAGAGAGGCTCTGGATTTGTTGGGACGCTAAGAAGCAACAGACTGATGGACTGCAGACTGAAATCGGAAAGTGAACTAAAAAAAGCAGGCCATGGTGCCTTCGACTACGCTGTTGACTCTTCGCGGAATATATCGGTAGTGAGGTGGCACGACAACAGAGCTGTCACCATTGTCTCAACCTACATATCCGCTGAGCCGATTGCCTCTGTACGAAGATGGGATAGGAAGGAGAAAAAGTGCATTCATGTTGCACAGCCAGCTGCAGTAAAGATCTACAACTCCTTCATGGGAGGTGTAGATCTTTACTCATGGGAGGTGTAGAGGTGTGTATTGAATTACTTGGTGGAGCTGTACAAGTTAGGATTGAAATCTAGAAGATGGTACATGTACCTTTTATATCATACTCTTATGATGAGTACAGTGAACACCTGGCTTCTCTACAGGTGCCACTGCGACAGCCTCAATGAAAAAAATTGTGAACCTCTGACAATTCTATGCCGGCATAGCCCGATGCCTAATTTCAGTGGGCAAAAAACCAGTTGGAAGACCGTCCTTTTTTGGAGTACCAGCATCTAAAAAACGCAAAGTGTGTTCAAGCTCACCCGACGAAGTGCAAAAGAATGTAGTTGGCCACATGCCAATATGGGGCTTCAACAGGCTCAGGTGCAGGCATTACCATCCAGCAAAGAACTCTTTTTCTTTAATTTATTGTAATAAGTGCAACGTGTACTTATGCGATAAGGACCGCAATTTTTTTGCTGCATATCATATGTAAGGCATATATGTACTAACAAGCAGCAATGCCCAGTGTATCATATGTGATACGCTTTGTATTATGTATACCTACATCTCAAAAAAAAAAATAAAACAATATTTGGCTATCCTTTATAATGCAGATGAAGTGTGAATCTATATATAAACTTTTTTTCATTTGCAACAACTTCTGGGCATTACAGGGTTAAAATGTGTTACCACTGACATGATCACTTTTTAGAAATTGTATACATGACAGGGTAGGCCCCATTCAAGGGGAAGGAGTGACCATTTTATGAAAATTGATTTTGATTATAACTATGAGTATACTAGATGTTACAGCCATGAGCAAGACTTTCAGTTAGGGCTACGCTAGCGTGGCCCTGTGCTTCCACTACAGTTAAAGCTTATACTAACTACCCCTAAAAAACTACCAATGACGTCCTCTACACCTGTCTCGGCTTTACTGTCTGTTGGTTGTAATGAGTTACGTGTCAGAGGGACACGTATCCATGAGAAACTGCAGCACTGAATAAAACAGCCACAATATATATATGTGCGTACACCTGCACATACAAAATGAAATAAGACCCTTTAGTGCCTTGCTCATTGACCGGCTGACGTAAACTCTCACCGTACGCACAGAGCACTGTTGCATTAACTGTACGCACAGAGCATTCTGTTGTGTGCACACTCCGGTGACCCGAACGCATTGATCAGTCTGTATGTAAATGCTGCTTTGCAATTCCATGCACACGATTTCGCATAGTACCTGACAGCAATTTAATCCAGTCCAGCACGATGCCTTGCAGGTAACATGCAAAGACATAGCATGTTACCTGCAAGCAGTTCAAAGTACAATGTACCCCTGTTAATACTTTAAAATTGCTGCAAAACAATACGTTCTAGCTTTAAGACTATGTGTGACAAGATGGAGACAAAAGATCAATAGGGATCTGAGAATAAATTCCTGGCATTGAAGTTACTGTTTCAACTCGTCTGAGCTGCATGACATGCACTCTCGTCGAAACAGCTCCATGTCAAGCTGTCAAATCGCCATAGTTCACTAATTTCTCCCGATACTCCATGTAAAGTTTGTTAATAAGCAAGTGGTTTGCAAAAAAAGTGCACACACAAGGACCTGGTCGCTACCTGTGGCATCAGCTTTTGGTCAAATTTGGGTTTTCTTGGTGTTGGCATTGGAAAGGGGTATCCTAATAGGAAGATGGAATCGCAACGACTTTCTTGTTCAATACATTCACATTTGCAATTTTTAAAACTGACTGGGTGATGTAAAATGGCACGAGCCCATACATACCAGCCACTGGGCAATCATTCTTACTGTGGATTATTCCCATGCTTCGCACACCTAAAACATTTGATTATAAGGAGTACCTTGAGAGCTTCAGGTTAATTTTTTCCCGTGCAGAGTTCTTGAACATGCAAGTTAAATCCATGCACATTAATGTTTTTCTACGTTGGAACTGCCCATTTCAGTGATTGTTCCGTTGGAAATAGAACCTACAGCTTCGTGACAAGAACATTAGCATAAGGTATGACATGGACAGAAAACACCAAGAAAAATAAGAAGGCACTTCATAGTGAGCAGAATCATTCCATCAAGAATGTCATATAGCATTCATGCTTGTACAAGATTTAACTCTTACCTATTCAAAGACATTCAGCTGTCATGTGAGCAAAAGGCTGCTTTTCGCATTCGTGAAAGAAAGCACCGAAGTCACTACAGCCCGGTCGAGCTGGAAACTGAAGTCTTACCAGATGAAATCAAGGAAACCAATGTATTTCAAAATGCTGCGTTGAAGGGTATGAAGGCAGCAAACAAAAAAACAAAAATTCATAGTTATAACCACCTGTAAAATTGTGAAGAGTAGTGCGAGGGAATTCAGGCAGAGGGAAGCAGGTCCAAAGCAAGGAAAAGTGGTTGCTGCACATAATATGGGAACACTGGGGAGAGAGAGCCCCCACAAAAAAACGGAATGAACACATAAGGCTTTTAGGTGTCAAGCCTCAAAATGAGACAACAGAGAGTGAAGCTCACAGTAAATTGAAGCAGAATGAATTATGAGAGCCGAGGTCACCGAAAAAAGAGGCAAGCTCCCAGCATAAGAAACGGATACACAAACCGAAGCACGCATATGCAAGATCAGGAAGGAGAGCAAGGATAAAAAAAGAATGCCCCAAACAAGAGGAAAAGATGCATATGTCACAGTGGCGGAACGTGAATCTTAGGATGGAGTCATGGAGAGGAAAGGAGGAATCAGGAGAAGCACGCAGCCCCACAATGCAAAGCAGGAAACGGGTACATTGGAGGGAAAAAGCTTCCAGCACAGATTCCATGGATATGAGGGACTACAAACAGCAGGTCCACAGTACAACAATAGACAGGCTTCGGGCAAGTGAGTGCAAAGCAGGAGATGGGAAAACACAAAATGAAGGCAAGTGCAAAAAAAAAAAAATGAAAGGAATAGCTAGTATTGAGCAAATAATCGTGAAGCACAGGTTGGAGACACAGGGAAAAAAAGGCACGGCCAAAGTTCAAAGCAGGAGGCAATCAAGTAAAAGTTGAAGGGCAAATACTTGCACCAAGCACCGAGGAATTGGGGTGCTGTCATCACACACATCTTAGACTCTTGGGTGGTTGATTAAAACCACCAATCCATAAAATTGGTATGGCTTTTGTGTGCAACAGTAAGCACCAGAGCCTGTCTAAAATTAGTGCAACCTCAAATTTACCTTGCCCAAGGTGTGCTTAAAGACAAGAGCATTCAACAGAGACCATTTATTGTCCAGTGAAATATTTTTTGAGCAGGACATTCTTTGAACGTAAAGGTCAAACAATAACAACGAATATAACTGGTTTATCTATATGGATACATTTGGACCCACAGTATGGTGGGAGCGGAGAAACTGGGGAGAATGGATGACTGCCCTTAACTACAGTGTACAACGTGCCGAGGCAAATAGGCAGACGCCCGTTAATTGAACAGGATATCTTCGTCGTGCGCAGTCCTCGAGGATGTTTGGTGCGTGTTCAAATGCCTCGGCAAGCAATCCCACCTCAGCATTGTGTTTGGCCAGCTCAGCCTCCTTCCGCACCTTGATCTGCTTCTTCTTTTCCTGGATTTTCTTCAGCCTGCCAACCCCAATCGCAGTGCACCGCAGGAAAGACATAAAACAAAGAATATCCAAATCAGCTCTCATAACAAATTGGACACATTGTGTACATTGCACCTGCTGCCGACATCCCACTGTCTCACTCCATCACGACAGGGCCCAAGGACATGAACGAAAAATGAAGCCGCCACAATAGTTACAGCAAGGCTCTGACAATATGGCTTTGACATTTGTTACTGCAGCCACAGAGGCAACATCGCTTTTCTCAGCGTCAGTTCTACAACTTCGCGTCTTTAGCTATTAAGCGCTTCACCAGAGTGAATGAGGTCCACTATGGAGGCAAGCATCACGAGACCTCCAACGACCATTACAATGGCACAGCAAAATGAAAATGAACAAGCAACCAAGCTAGATGAAATGAGAAGCTCTTAAAAAAGTGATACAGACAAGAGGAATGAAATGCAGGCTTTTATGACGAAGGCTGCATCCACTGCAATGTAACTATTCACGTACAAAGCACGACGTAATGTGAGCGTGTAAAAATAAAAGCGACATTTGTGTCCAGTACTGAGAAGATACAATGCGCTTATTTGCCAGTGTTGCCTGGCAAGTAAGGAATGAAGCATTAAAACGTAATAACAGATTTACTAAGTCAGTCACATTAGGTACTGTGAAACCTCATTACCTAGTTGCAAGGCACACTCAACCCGGCAAGCTGAATATTGATGAGTTATTATTGCAAATCGGAAAGAGTAAAAATATGTGCATATAAAGAAAAAAAGAAAGCACACATTTTCTGAACTAGGTTTGTTACACAGAAAAAATATGCTTTTATGCAAAGGCAACATGCACCAGCACAAGACAGAACATAGAATGTGGTGCATGCCTGTGGCCTTCAACACAATAGCATGGTAGACAAATGTGAAAAGAGAGTTTCTTTTGGTGACAAAGTGATCGAGGCAGCGCTTACAAAGTTCCAATCTTTTCATGTAAAACGTCCCAAGCACCGAACAGCATTTTTTTGTCGTCATATCTACCAAAATATTCGGTGCCTGCATCTTTTTCTTTTCTTTCTTGTGAGCTGTAAGTGCATATTGATTCAGTGTTCTAGTCAGCTCAGCCCGGGGCATGTACTATGTTTCTGAAACAAAAAGTTTTAAGAAAACTGAGGGACCTGACTATATCCTTTCAAGGCTCATAAGCATCAAAGTGTGATCAAAATATCTACAGTAAATAGCTCACGATGGTTTAAAGAATTCAAAGTAGTTTGTTTTTTGTGATTGCATATTACATTTGCTTTCTTGTCAACTTCTGGAGGTCAAGTATTTTACCTTGAAGATTTGGAGGTCAAGTATTTTACCTTGAAGACCTCTGCAAATGCCACAAATGCTATCACTCTGCAGACTAAGCCTTGATGTATTCAAGCCTTCTTCAATAATTATCGAGTTGTGTGCGTGACGTCTACCGTATAGTACTCTGATGGATACCAGGCCCTTGCATATATAGGATAGCCGAACTGCAATCCAGTAAATGCTCTTTTAAAAATGGACCCATAGATCACCCTGAAGGAACCTTCTGTTTCTTTGCATTACCGTGAAGTATTGCCCTAAAGTGCCCTTGCACACCAGAATTCACCTGTAACTTCATACCCAGACTTAACCTTTAGAGCATCAGTACTTTTGCGTGATCATACCCGAGAAACAGCAATTATGCCCGAATCAATTGTGACTCAAGAAATGAAAAATTTGAAAGAGCAAAAAGCTGTGCTTGGCACTCATTGTTTCACTTCGAGTGTTCTTGGATTTCTCGGTGCATGTCCCTCTCCCCCACCAGAGTTTATTTCTTACCAGTGCGCATCTGATATTCTTACCATTTAGAATGTGATGATATAAATGCAAATAATTATCACAATAATAACCTTCCCACTTTAAAACCACGGAAAGATCAAGGCCTCACTCAGTAATGTATGACGTCTTCCTACAACACACAATAAAATGCAGACACACAAAAATACACTGAAAAGGTTACCAGTCTTTCATTAGCCTTGTTAGTTCTACTGCAGCCTTATATAACAATAAAAATAAGAATGAGTGAAGCATTGTGATGAAGCTTGTGACAAAGGAAGCACATCTCACCTGAAGAATTCTTCCCTCTCCCTCTCGTCGAGCTCAGATGTGATGTACTGCAGAGTGCGGTCGATGCGAGGAATGATCACTGCGACAAAATGCAAACAGTAAATTAAAAGTCTGAACTGCTTTCCCGGTGTACATGAAACAATGTCAAGCTTCCTCCTGCATTAAACTGGAATCTGTTAAACATAATGTCAATTACTCATCCGTACCTCAAGTGACAGAACCATGGTATGATCATGACAGACGCCGTAGCGTAGGACACCGGGAGCATTCTTACCCCCTTGGGTTGTTTAAAGGGGCCATGACACTTTCACCCAACGGCTTGTGGTTTTCAGCGACAAATAAAAGCCCAGGGTCTATTATACCAGTACATATAGTACCAGTACATATAGCCAGACTAAATTGTAAAAGAATATTTCAACAAAAACAAGAAGTCACCGGCTATAAAGCCCACTCATTGCCACCAAACATAATTTTGTCATGGCCTGTGCAACTTCACGAGTTGCACGGAGCACATTCCTAATTTGTAATCCCCTAGCAAAATCTTAAAAGCTGCAGAGAGTTCGATTTCGATATTAAACTGAAGAAAGCTTCAATAGCAAAATCGCACACGCAGCTAAGCAAACAAAGCAAAATAGTTTGCCAGAATACAGAAGCTTGCATGGCAAGCAGCTTGTTAAGTCACTGCTTTGAAGTGTGTCAGTGTTGCCTGAGTGTTAGGTTGCTAGCGTGTTTTTAAAGACACTCATTTATAAATGAACTGGCCAATAGAAGGCCCAAAAATTGACATACTGCCAAAGCAGATTGGAAGGAAAACCAAAGGTCAATGATGCAAGCAGTAAAATTCCTAACATCTCTCTTGGAGAAGGAAAGCACTTATTTATTGCAATGGCGGCACCTAAACTTTTGTGTGCCAAATTGCATGTCTGAACCCTCCATTAAAGGAAAAAAATAAAGTTGAAATATTGGCGCGTTGGCTGTGGCCTGCTCTTCTTGCTGGGCGAGTTGGGGGTGCATGATGTGCACACATTTTTGCAACCAGAAGTAGAAAGGCCCTGTGCACTGAGTCTTCTTCCTTTCGGAGTTCTTCCTGGCCAGGTTTTGCAGCTAAAAAAATATGTGGCCAGTTCTGAGTTGCACTTTTCTGCATACACATGAAATGCACATTAGCAATGTATTGATCTTCATTTTTCATCCAGAAAAGGAATTGTAAGGCACAGAGGGCAGATACAAGACTTGCGACCTCAGCCACACTGTTAGTATATTTGGTGTTCAGGGCCATAGCCAGGGGGTGGCACACCGCCCCCCTCCCCACTGGAAAGTTCCAAAACTGCAGCACCACTAATTTGACAAGTCAGGCACATACACTTCTGCCAAAAAGAATCATTCCGACCACTGCTGCTTACTTTCGGTTGTGTGACGATGATAGCAGCAAGACCTTTTTTTTGTGAGAACAGTTTCATGGCAACCACATTGACATGACATTTTGAGCAGCAACACCTGTGAAACAGACATTGTGTCATGACGCATTCCATAGACTGCCTAACAGCTTACTACCACACGTCTCTCCGTGCACACGCAGAGATCTTCCACACCTAGCTTGCATGCAGTGTCATTTAGCCTTGCGAAAAGATGCCACATTCTATTAAAAAGCCAAAGTTTCAGACGCTTCGAGAGAGGTCTAAAATCGTTGCCAAAGCTGCGAAAGGCCGAAGAAAGGATGATGTTGCATAGAAGTTCGGCATCCCTTCTGTTATTGAGGGGTTCAACTGTATTTGCACGAGTGAAAATTAGAGCTCCGTGAATAGCAAAACTCTGGGTGCGATGAAAATTAATATACCGAAATAAAGCTGCGAATCGAAACAAATATTTTTCATATTGTATTTCTAGAACATTTTTCTAATACTGTGAAGCAAAATTACAGAAAAAAGTTGGAGAGGATTTCCAAGAATATTCCTATGATATTGCAACATGAAGTGCTCATTTTTGCTAGGTTGACAAAGCACAGACCAATTGGTGTTTCATAGCTTTCTCATCAAGAATGAGGCAATGCAGTGTTGCTGAATGAGGCAACCAAAGTGTTGCTGAAACCACTTCACATGTGACAGCTTACGATGCCATTTTCTGTTTCTCCTCTTTCAACTTCTGTGGAAGCCCAAGTGATGTGGCAGACAAGGATGTGCTTCCTTCCAGTCCAAAGTTGCACATATGCCGGATAGGTGCCAACATACAAGAACGTTTTAAATTTTAGAAGCTAAAAATCTCTGACATCCGATTTTTCGGATTCTTGCCCGAATTTCAGGCCCGAAACAGCACTCAGGGGTGCAACAGCCGAAATAAAATTTGTAGCAATTTTCGGAGCAGATTAAAGTTACTTTTGGAGTACTAAAGAATCCAAATTTGGGGCAGGTTACGGAAAAAAGACAGCATTTCTTTATCATAAAATAACAAATTTGGAAGCAGTATAAAAGAGCTTACATTCAGAGAAAAAAATATGTGTAAACCATTTAACATCACAGACATTGTGCAGTGTGAACAGCAGCACTGCTATTTCAATAAAAGTATTATTTTGAACCACCCCACTGAGCAAACAATCATAAAATCCACATTAACATTAGCAAATTGTTCGACAGACTCTGCGAATATAAATTTGAATCTGCCAAGTTCGCGACCTTGAAATTCAAGACATTTATCAAACCTAGGAGTCAGGGTGGCGAAAAAAAAATTGATGCACAATTTACCTCTTTTTTAGGGACGCAAAAATGTCACTCTGCTCCAAACGATTGCCAGTAGCTTATATTGATGTCAGTGATCACACTGGTACTCGGAACTACGTGACGTACACCAACATGAGTAATTGAACTAAATGTGCCTGTGTCCTGTGACTAATGCCAACAGCCCCTTCCAAATCTTGACACGCCTTTCCACATGGCACTAGTGTACTGCGGCAAAGGTGGCTTAGCAGCATTCTCTGCCCGGGTTAAAACCAAGGCAAGAAATTTTCCTACTGCTGCATCCGCCCACCCATTTTATTTCTTTAGATTAGGTGCCCCCTTGGCTCGCTTGCAAGGTGCACTCGTACCAGGTAAAGCAACAACAGTGCGCGCCCATCTGCCCGACGATGGCGATGGATATCAATCGGCAGAACCGTGACCAAGACCACGCAACTTCAAAAAAAAAAAAATTTGTATGTGCCGCTGCTAAGGCAACCAACGTGGTCGCTGGGAACGCCGGCGTTTGTAGCATGTCAAGCTTGTTCGGGCGTGGAAAACGTGGCATACGCTTCCAACCTTGGGAGATGAGCTAGACTCCAACCAAAAGTTTTGAAGAAACCCTACGTTTCGAAACAGACTTCGTTCTCTTCTCAGGGCGGGTGGCGGCTCGAATGAAGTTTTTTGGGTGTCGTTTTTTTGTAAGGTACGCAAGACATGGAGCGAAAGAAAGAAGAGGCCCGTGTAATTGCGGACCTCACAAAAAACGGACACCTAAAAAACTTCATTCGAGCCGCCACCCATCGCGCAGAGCAACAGAGGATACGAAAACTCCTTTCAACCTTAATTGGCAGCCCCCAAAACGCGTACCGGTCCCATACATTCAGGAACCAGCGAGATGTTGGCGCGGATCTTCAAGAAGGAAAGGGTTTGCATCACGCACATGCCTTCGTGTACGCTGGGCCGCGTCCTCCCCAGCCCAAAAGACCAGCCAACAATGGACAGGACCCCTAATGTCGTTCACAAAATTGCGTGCGTCCAGTGCCCTTCTTTGTATATCGGTGAGAAGAAAAACCTACCAGAACGACTGAAGCAACACGGCAACGATGTGTGAAAGCTCTACAAAGAGCGCAGTGCAGTCGCCGAACATGCCGAGACGTTGGATCACCGGATAAATTTCCAAGCGACTGCCATCCTTGAAATCGAGCCGAACTGGAGAAGGTTATTACTCGAGTCGTGGCACATACAGAGGACAGCCCATAACATCAACCACTCTCTTGGAACCCTTCCCCAGTGTATACGCAAAGACTGCGCTCCATGGCAAAAAGAGAGAGAGAGAGGGGGGTCATTATCCGCTCCGCGAGTGCTTTGAAGACACCACTGCTACGTAGTCCCACAGTCGCCCCTGAGGAAGGAACCAAGTCGGTTTCGAAATGTCGGGTTTCTTCAAAACTATTGGTTTGAGTCAATCGTCTCCCAGTTTCACACCCAACCAGGCGTCTAGACTTCTGTCGAATGTTTACATTCAGGCTTCCAACCTTAGTTTCTAACATGCCACAACTGTGTTTTCAGGCATGAAAATTTATATTTCCCGCGAAGCAGTGGTAGCTACAGCATCGCATGTCCTTCGTGAAGTTCCGCTGTATTGTCGATGGGTATCCGCTGCGGTCAGCGGACCGTTGGGCGTACAGCCTTGTTACTTTATCTGGTCAATTGTGTGGTGCTACTGTCCTCATTTAACGGCTATCCATCTTACACTGAGGTTTAGGGTTAGCATCTGGGCGCTTCAATTGATGATGCAGCTAGACAACATGGTCTCCATTTCTTGCTGAAATTAGTGCACAAGGGAAATTTTGAGGCTAGTTGACCATTTTGGCGCAGTGTGGCACGATTTCAGCTAATTTCATGGTTTTGGCACAGCTCAGCGCAACAATCTGGAATTGTATCAAATTGGCACTACTGGCGCAGCTGTTGCACACCTTTAAACCTTTCAGATGCCAGCTACAAAAGACTGTCTGTAAATGCGTCAAATCGATACAACATGGAATCAAGGTACTCAATATTCTATCGCAACAAAAATAATTTTATAATATATTGATTTCTGTATTTTATAGCAGTTAATCCAAATCAAGCTGTCAATAACTATCTACTAATCGTGAAGACATTCATGTTGTGTTCTTCCATATATAGAATCAGATCTCAGGCTAGAAATATAGCGCAAATTGATTGCTGTTCTCGTTGATTCAGAGAAAAAACAATAGATTTCGACGTGCCTCCAAAAAAGCGCCAAGTCGAGAGACTCGTCGACCATGGTGGTGCCTTCAAAAAAGTGATGATATACAACAGTACGATGAAAACTGAGGATTAAATG